AGATTATGTGATGTTAAATATATATATAAATATATTATAGTAGCCATTATCGTAACTTTCATAGTTCAAGGGGAGTAACTAATATTTTCCTTTTGTATCCAAAATTATCTTATAATTTTAAGCTATCTTAAAAGTCGCTCTATCGGGCGGCATTTAAGCTAGCTCCTGTGGAGGACTCCTGGTTTGGCCATCATCACAATAGCTAGGGTGGAGTAGATGCCATAGGCATCAATAAACTACAGAAGAACTCAAAATTGATCGCTTCATTTAAGTGTAGAATTAATGTTTAAGCTTACCTTTTAAAAGTTCAATTTAAAGACGATTTGATGTACGTAGATCCTTCGTAGATATTTCCGCACAAAAGAATCATTTTTATTTCATGGCTGACAAAACAGGGGACAATTTATTAGATAAAATTAATTTTAATGGAAAGATGGGAAAATAGAATTAGTTATACATTCAACATTTGAAAAGTTAGAGAAACATAATAGCTAATTAAGTAAAACAGATGTCATGGAATCTATATGAATAAATGCGAAAAATTCTCCGACTAATTCTGAGATTAAAAAGCCCCAGCTCAACTTTATAGTAATTTGTATTTACTCAACTCCCGAACTAGGTCAGGTTGTGCCACAAGGTCGGTTTAATGTGAGGAGCCCGAGCGCGTACACCTGGGCTAGGAACAAAAATTTCTCGAGCTCCCGCAACCGTATATATATATATATATATATATATATATATATATATATATAAATAAAAAAAAGAAACATGGCAAGATTACCTATTCAACTGAGTACTCGACAAACAAAGAAAACGATGAAAAGATCAATATATAGTGAATTCCAAGCGTAGCTTAGATGTGGCACAAGGGGATCTAGTGGGAATCGAACTCACTACTCAGTCGTAATTGTTCTAGCGAGCCAAGATTGCTAACCATTACACCGCCTCGAAGTGCACACGGATCAATATTTTGATATTAAGATATTTATCAACCCCATTCACGCAAGCAAAAGTTTCATAGGAGCGAGATTTGTCCAATTTCTCTTGATCACCTAATGATTGTGCTGTTATATCAAATATTGGTGCTTTTCGTTGCGTGAATGATGTACATAGGTACCTTAATATATATATATAAATATATATATATATATATATATATATATATATATATGAATATATGGATATGATTTGTGACTGAGTTTCACGCATTTGCGATCATCAAAAGTTTGTCTAATGATCGCAAAAGCGTGAAACCCAGGGTCACAAACACATATTTCATATAACTTATAATGTCAGCTCTATCACTGATATTGAGCGTTTTCCACCAAGTACCGTATATAAAAATAATATATATATATATATATATATATATATATATATATATATATATATATATATATATATATATATATATATATATATATATATATATATATATATATATATATATATATATATATATATATATATATATATATATATATATATATATATATATATATATATATATATATATATATATATATATATATATATATATATATATATATCTGTATATATATATATATATATATCTGTATATATATATATATATATATATATGTATATATATATATATATATATATATATATATATATCTGTATATATATATATATATATATATATATATATATATATATATATATATAGATATATATAAATATATATACATCTCTAGAGAGAGAGAGAGAGTAAATATATATCTCTCTCTATATATATATATATATATATATTATATATATATATGGTAGAAACCTGTTGACATAGTGATTTAATAGAAGGCTGTTGACATAAGTTGAGCTGTTCAGTATAGGTATTATAGTGGTGTAGAAAAATTAATCTTATGGCACGAGATAATCGAATTTTCGAAGTTGTATATCAGTTTATCACTGGGTTTTTGTTAGATTTTCTCTCCAGGCAGGAGTTAAGCAAATTCGTACCATTTGAGATCCAACCTAATGAATCATAATTCTAGTCTGTTTATTTTCCCCTCTATTTACGTTGTTCATCTGTCGAGTCAGATTAACAGTTGGCAATTATTTTTTCGCCTGTGTCGTCTTCCTGACAGATCCGTCTCGCAAAAAGAAATTGGTTTGGAAAATCGATTAATCCAGACCTTTACATTCAGGATTATCTCGTCGCCGGAATGTCTGCCTGCCATTTTAGATACCAGGGACGTTTGGATGAGTGTGTAGAACAGAGAAAATAAGAAAAGCTCAATCAATCCTCAAAGATCTCGTTATAATATCACAACTGATTGCGATAAATGAACAGCTGTAATCATTTTTTTAATCAATTCGCCTCAAGCAAAGCACAAATACTACATAAAGATACACGGAACTGTTACGGTTTTTTGGGTATATTAACGCCTGTAACTAGTGAGCGAGTCAGAATGACTTATTTCCCTTTATAGTCGACCAATGGGAGGTTGACCAGTCCGAAGCCGCCCAACACTGTATTCATCGTGTATAAAGGCGGCCATCTTGTTTCGTCTACCGGAAGGACCAAAGTCGACCAGGAGAAGGATGAACTACACTCTGCTGTGATATCCACTGCGAACCTAAAGTACGCTTTCCTACTGTCTCCGAAATATTCACTGCCAACCTCTAGATTCAATACTCAAGGACGACCGTCATGGAAATGTATAACACTGGGAGTGAAATAGAATTCGAAGACTTTTGAAGGAACCGGAACCCCCCACTCTAATCATGAAGCAAGGGATAAATTTCTACCCCTGTTTAAAAGACCTGGGAGGTGTTTGAAGCAGACGATAGATAGACTTATTTACTAATTGTATCTAAAAGTTTCATCTTTTTCAATCGGCTCATGAGCATATGCTTATGCGCGCGTATCTTTTATAATTTGCATCGATTTTATCTCTTTCAATTTGTTTTCTTTTATCTTTTTGATAATTTGTAAGTTTTCTCTCTCCATTGCTACATAAACTCGCTTCTTCAAGGAATATTATTATCAAATATCATGGGAATTGTTCTCATGAGCGTTCATCTTTCGTACATGGACTTTACGATTTTCATTATTTTACAGTTGAAGTGGCCGGATGGAACCGTAAGTTTTATGCTAAGATTTTTTTTCTTTTGTCCTTCTCGCTTGTGGAACTCACTTTAGCCTCCTTAATTTGCAATTAAGTTTGATCTTCATAAATATAAATGCAATGTCAGCCGTTATCTTCTTAATTTCAATTGTTTTAGCCTTCTCTCTCCGTAATAACGTTTTTTTTTTTCTCATATTCTCTCACACCCAGTGACCTATTGTGTCTTAGTGACTTTATTGCCTTGCTTGGGGTGAAATGATTTAAAAAAAAGAAAAGAATAAGATTAAGAACTATAGATCACAAATAAGTCTTTGCTTCGAGATTTTTTAGAAGGGGGGGGTCCATTTTACTATGCAAATTCATGTAATGGAAGAACCCGGCACCCCCATGAATGATTACACTATAGGTAGTAAGTACCTATAAAGTCAACTGTCTTCGAGAGACTGGAGAGAGAGAGAAGAGAGAGAGAGAGAGAGAGAGAGAGAGAGGAGTGAGAGAGAGTGTGAGTGTGAGTGTAAGTGAGAGAGAGAGAGAGAGAGAGAGAGTGTGAGTGAGAGAGACTGAGTGCGAAAGAAGACGCAAGCACGTCCGACCTTCCAATTAGTGGCACTCACTACTAGATTGACCTGTGTGTATAACTGTACCGTATTTCATATTGTAGTTGTTGTGTACAATAAACCTTTCTTCTAGTATCCCCCTGGTGTTATTTATTCCCTTAGCACGGAATATAACAGTTCCGACGAGGATTGTCGGAACATAACAAAAATTAATTGTAAATTCTTTCCCTCTACGTAGCCCCAAAATAAACTCATCATAACACGTGATAAATCATATTATTACTTACCTTACAAAAATTCAATAAAAATTTAGTAATTAAAATAAAGATAAAAAGTTAATATTTGAATTCTTTTCTTACTTTCTCTCTTCCTCTGCTCTGTGAAAATAATGCTTGCATACAAATTTTCAAATAATTTGAAAACAGCCGTGAAAAATATATTTATTACTCTTTTCTCGTAATTATTATTTATTATCCTTAATCTTATTTTTTTTTTAACTTGCGTCTGAGGTTGGTGTCAGAAATTGTCATACACCCCTCCCTTTTTAATTTTAGAAAATAAAAAAAAAAAATGTTCAAATTAATTTCTCCAAATCACGAATAGCATGATCACGTGATCTGAAGATATTAATCAGAAAAATATTTTTTTTTGGGAGAGATGTGTTTCTGTCAAATAGGCAAAATCGGTTCGGTGTTACTTGCGGTAGACTTCCTTTACGTCATATTTCCTCTGAGTTCGAAAATATAAGTAATAATTGTAATTTCCTGAACTCAGTTGAGTGTAGCACAAGAAAGGTGCACGAACTCACCTCTGCCCACCTAGATTAACTCATTAACCATTGCACCACTTCCAGGTGCTCCAAATATTTTACCAGATTTACATTATTTTACTATAAGGTTACAAGAATGCGGTAGCTATCGAGTATCGAATCCTTAATAATATTGAACGGGATTAGCATGGTAAATATGACTCTATTTCGAGATAGAGTAAAATAAAGTTTACCTTTGTTTAGCACCAGAAGAGTTTTTTTTTGTTTTTTTATAGAAACGGGAGAAGTGCTAGTTTGCATGACTCTCCTAATGAGGTGATACATACAGAATGTTCGAAAATTTAAAAACTGAATTGAATAAATGAAATATAATATTAAAATATAACAAAATAAACACACTTAAGATCTGGTCTATGTATAATATAGAACATTAGCCATAAAAAAAAAACTTTTCCCACAAACAACTTTTCATTAGGGCCGCTGGATTTATTATAGAAAGCTTACAGAAAAGAAATAACACGTAATCTGATGGTCGGTTAAGGAGTGAAACTGCCGATCGCCATTTATAGTTATATATTCACAATGAATGAATCTATCTATCTATCTATCTATCTATCTATCTATCTATCTATCTATCTATCTCTGTCGGTTATTATGTATGTATGTATGTATGTATGTATCTATATTTCTCTGTCGATTATCTATCTATCTATCTATCTATCTATCTATCTATCTATCTATCTCTGTCGGTTATGTATGTATGTATCTATCTATCTATATATTTATCTATATTTCTCTGTCGATTATCTATCTATCTATCTATCTATCTATCTATCTATCTATCTATCTATCTATCTATCTATCTATCTATCTATCTCTGTCCGTTATGTATGTATGTATCTATCTATCTATCTATATCTATCTATCTATCTATCTATCTATCTATCTATCTTTCTCTGTCGATTATTATCTATCTATCTATCTATCTATCTATCTATCTATCTATCTATCTATCTTTCTCTGTCGATTATTATCTATCTATCTATCTATCTATCTATCTATCTCAGTCGGCTATTTTCTATCTATCTATCTATCTATCTATCTATCTATCTATTTATCTATCTATCTATCGCAGTCGGTTATTTTCTATCTATCTATCTATCTATCTATCTATCTATCTATCTATCTATCTATCTATCTATCTCAGTCGGTTATTTTCTATCTATCTATCTATCTATCTATCTATCTATCTATCTATCTATCTATTCTGAGTTTTCTTCCCTCTTTATTACTCCTTTATGCATACCTTTAACATTTCCTTGATAAGTGATGGATTTATTTTATTTTGTTAAAAATCATAGCTGAATATACGAAGTGTGTTCGACACTGTTTTATCTACAGCTTTAATCTCTGCTAAAATTGCAGCTGAATCACAAAAAAACAAAAGGATGTGCATTGTCAGCAAATATCGGTGATAAATCAGGAAGAGGTTTTTTAGCTGTAGGACAAAGAGCATTCTGGGAGAAATCTGAAATTGGAAATTGATGCAGCACAAAACATGTAAAATTGAAGAAAAATTTTCTCGTTGTTGTATGTGGTTTTTCATGGTTGAAGAATAATAAAGATGCACAAAAGTTAGTTCCATATGCAAGAGTAATTAAAGTCACATCACATTGGACCAACCGATTCTCGTACGGCCACCAAAATTAAGCCAAACTGAGCCTGGTCGGTACAAAATACCGCTTGGGTATACCAGGGATTGAAAGCTTGGATGTGTTCGGAACTGTTAAGCAGGGAACCCGGTTTTAATTCCCGTTGGGATCACTTACTCGTAAATACCCTTAGGGAAGATATGAATAACCATCTTCCCCTCCCATCTATCGGTTAATTAGTAATCACTACATGATTATTAACTAAAATATTTTCTGGCTTTAAATAACATACAAAGGATTGATACGCCGTATAAAACGAATCAAAGCAGTTAAAGAAAAGAGGTTTTTCAAGTCCAGTAGCCGTTATCGCTCTTTCTAGTATTGATGGGTATTTTCCTTCTTAACCTGTAGAATATTAACGTCTTTATGTTCTTATCTAATTACATATGTCATCCATTTTAGTTGGTAGTTCTCAAGTGATGTGGTTTGTGTTATTTGGTACAATACTTTGTGATTCTATAGTGCCAGTTCAAAGAAGAAGGACAATTGAGTAGGCCCTCAGGTCTTATTCATACAAAGCTTTCTTTAAACAGAAAGTGGTTGTATACATATGAGGGTTTAGATATTTCTGACGGGGTTTGACAACAGGGCCCTTCAGTTACTCCTATGTATACTTTTTCTTCATAATCTGGTATCAAAATGACAAGATAATGGAGAAAAAGTATACATGCAGTAATTGAAGGACACCTCAGCACACAAAACATCTTTCACAAATTAAATACGTGAACAGTACAATGATTTACAAATATGTTTTAAAAAACAAACAAAAAATCATGGTTGTACAACAATCAAAATTTGAGGGAAACCAAAATACATTTAAATAAACGATCTGAGATGCAGACACAAAAGCAAATATTTTACCTGACGAAATCTGGAATTTAGTATAAAAAACAAGTAAAATAAATTAACCCAAACAAATAATAAACAAATTAAACTACTCCCTTTAGAATAGACGAAATAGAATTTTACATAAAATACATATAAAAACAAGTAAAATAATGAAAACAAAATAAAGAAAGAAAAGAAAAAATGAAATTAACAAACCAATTGTTAGAATAGACTACAAACAACCCCAAAAATTGGACGTAAAAATATATAAAATAACGATTAAAAAAACATTAATAGTTAATCAAAAAATCGCGGTCTGGCAAATTTGCGCCTAAAATTACCGTTAGAACATGCAAAACAAGCCTGTCGCCTCTATAGACTGCAATGAAACATTTCGAATGTTAATTATCTTTTTAAATATTTATATTTAATAAAACATCAAAAAACGAAAAGAATTTGAAAATGAACAAATAAATTAACCTAAATAGATAAATAAATAAACAAACCAATTCCGCAAAAATAACTGCCAGGATTCCATAAATATATAAATAGCACACTTTAAAACTATATTTAACTTTTTTTTATATTTATATTTATATATATATATATATATATACACTTTTATATTTCTTCATATATATATATATATATATATATATATATATATATATTGTTCGAGTCACGATTGGGTAGAGTGAGGGAGAATCACAGTGGTTAGGATTGCCCATACAGAAATTGACGGAGACAAATATTCGGTGAAACTCTAACCAGCCTCTCACCAGGCCAAGAATTAGACCGTTTTTATAACATTTGTACACTCACGCAACTTCATGTGGCTAAGCCTTCTTTCAGTATGTCACCTACGCAATTTCTTGTGGCCACTCCTCTTCTGGCAGGCACCCATGCAAGCAGGCATTTCCTTCCACTCAGGACACCTGTGCATCCCGTTCATTCAAGGCTTATGACACCTGTGCAGCCTGTTTATTTGAAGCACCGGATGCATTTCCTGTTTATGCTATCACCCATTGCGAAGTGAAGTCAAAGGTGTTTCCCAACCGATATCTAACATTATGATAAAATTCTTTTTCTTATATACAAAAGAGGTTTTGGAATGAAAATATTTTCATACACTGCATCGAAAATAACCTGCAGTCTGTTTTTAACTGCAATGATTTTGACGATTAAAATTTTATTCAACAGTGAACATTTTTTCATCAGTGGAGATGGCAGAACGTAGCGTGCCATCAAGAATCCGTTTCGTGAACAGCTCATTTCTCTGAACCGTCTTTTTCATTGTGGCTGCTGAAACAAGCTGTCCTTTGGTTATCTTGTGAGGCCACAGCCCTAGTTCATTTCGACATTGATCCAGGTATGCTTGTCACCGATGTTTCGAGCACCTTAGCCAATTTTCTCATTGAGCTTCTTAGATTGCGCCTGATTTTTTTTTAGTTTTGGCCATCTGGAGGTGCGAAGACATTCTGATCTTCATCTATGTTTGATGATGAAAGTCTCGTTCAATCAATCGATTCTCCCTTTGCTAAACATTCTATTGATTCCAAATTACTGTCCATTTTTAAACTCTCAGGTGGGGGTCAGTGCGTTTTCAATTATATACTTTAATTTCCATAAACATTGTTGGTAGAAAATACTAAAACACTTTGAAAGCTTAATAAATTCTGTTAGCGAAGTGGTTTCGCCATGAACCACATTAACGTTGCTATTTAATTCTTTGTATAAATTGTTCCTTTATAGTATAAAATATGAGCTGCACACTCTAATATATATTTACGACATCAGATTTGTAGCACAGTAATAATCAGAATCTTGTGGAAAACCACTAAGACATTTTTACTCTACTAATTGGATTATCCTAAGTCCATTTCACTTTAACAGATAAATACATATAACAAGAAAATTTCGTGGATTTATAACTTTTCAAACAAAATTCTCACTTGATCGATTTGAACAAGAACTCTAGTGTCGCGGCATCACACGCACGAAAACATATATTCAATTGTCAATAAATAGCATAATTTAAAAAAATATTTCGGTCTACACATATTTCGTTATATTGTTTTGGGAATATTGATCACTGAAGATGACAATTTGAAATTGTCAAAAGTACTTGACATGTGTCTTCCCAATGACAACAACTCAAATATAAAGATCTTATTATTCAAGGAATTCATAGTAAGTTAATGTTTCATTAAGTTCTGTTAGCGAAGTGATTTTGGCATTAATCACATTAACATTGCTATTTGATTCTTTGTATAAATTGTTTTTTTATAATAATTTATATATATATATATATATATATATATATATATATATATATATATATATATATATATAAAAGTAAAGTAGAAATGTGATATATAATCCGGTATTCTTATTGATATTTTTTATTTTTACAAAGTAGTGTTCAATGTAAATTTATAGAGCATAAATATTATAAATGAACTGATTTAAAATATGATTTCTTCGCTACACAGCAATAACCACGTTTCAAAAACTGAAGCTAAAAACTTCAAATTTAATTATGTAATTAAATTAAAAGCATTACTTCTGTTTCATCTTCAAAATTCTCATCCAAAATTCGCTTGATGATGAAACAGAACTAATGCTTTTAATTTAATTATATAATTAAATTTGAAGTTTTTAGACTGAGTTTTTGAAACATGGTTATTACTGTGTAGCGAAGAAAACCATATCAGTTAATTTATATATATATATATATATATATATATATATATATATATATATGTGTGTGTGTGTATGGGGGAATATCCATAAGACACTTAGTCTCTAGCTTTTATGTAACATCTGCAGGAAGCTTGTTCTGTCTCGTGCTGGACTTGCTAGTCATTTAAGGTCACATGAAAATAGCCAGTTTAATGACGACTCTGGGAATATCATTTCTGACGGACCTGCAGGATAATTATGTGAGATTTGTGATAGGATTTGCAGACCTAACGCAAAACTAAATAGGCAATTGGAAGAGCACAATTGTAAGTCACTTTCAAGCTTCTCCAAAAGTATTTCGACTGTCAAATATGTAAAACTGTATGCAAGTGCGAGACTGATTTCATTTCAGTTCAACGTTGAAAGAATACCTTACTCTCTAAAAAATTATATATATATATATATATATATATATATATATATATATATATATATATATATATATATATATTACTACTACTAATAAATATATATTTATTGCTCACCAGTAGCATAATTCTCAGTATAAATTTTAGATCTCTTATTATACATTGAGCACTGTTTTTTTAACACCGCCACTTAATATGCGATTTTCACCCTTTTTTGCCTTATTTAATATACGGAACATATATATATATATATATATATATATATATATATATATATATATATGTGTGTGTGTGTGTCTTTGTGGGGGTGTGTGTTTGTGTGAATAAAAACATAAAAGGAAGAACAAACCCCAGACAAGGGCGGATTCTCGTCCTTCTTTCTTTGAAAAGGATCCTAACAGTCTCAAAATATTTTTTTAACCTGTACTGTTCGGAAAACTATGAATCTAACCCGGCTTGCTTCTCTGAAATCATCAGCATCATTGTATCTGGAAAATTTAATTTTCAAGTGCATAACTTAAACATGGCCAATTTAATCTCGCAGAATCTGAGGCCAGCGGTAGCTGTATCTAAAGTCTTATTTTGACTGGTGGATACAATGTTTTTATTAAAATGCTCATCAAAATGCGTAGGGTACGGGGATTTTATAAGAGTAGCTTAGATGTGGAACAAGACGGAAAGAATGGAACATCCATTGCGCTGCGAGGATCGAACTCCCAATCCATTCGTAATTTTTCTGGCGAGGTAATCTTTGTGACACCACGTCGTGGTCCCGAAATGGCTAGGCCATATATTCATAAGTTTACGTCTCAATTGATATTTTTTAAATTAAGTAGCGAAGTTAGAAAGATAGTAAGTCAGTCTGTATGCTAGTTAGTTAGTAAATCAAGTTTTGTTCATATTTGTATGAATCAAATATGAAATATCTATATATATATATATATATATATATATATATATATATATAAGTTGGTTATTGAAAGATATAGTCATCAAAACCGTTGAGCAGATGCGTGAAGAGGGAAATCATCTATTTTTTTAATGTTCATCTTACGAAATTTTCGTTGTCTTGTATTTTTAAAGATCAAATATGAAATAAAGAAAAAGACGCAAGTATAAGACTTGTTTTATGAAAGACGAATAGAACAAAAAAGGCGAGCAGATGGGAAAAAGAAAGTAAATCTAGTTTAAATACTGAATTACGAAAAATTTTTCAATATCAATCTAAAACTAACAAAAATATGCCTCTAGAAATATTAACTTAAGAAAAATATAAAAACTGGAATTTAAAGTTAACAAAAATATTACTCCTGTAATGGAGAGCTAATAAAAACATGATTCCTGAAATGTAAATCTAAGAAAAATATGCCATCTGAAATTGAAAGCTAATAAAAAAAATGCTACCTGGAATTTAAAGGTAGCAAAAATTGAACTCCTAAGCTAAGAAAAACATGATTCCTGAAATGTTAAGCTATCAAACAACGCTAACATCTGTGATTCTTGAAATATAGAACTAATAAAAATAGGTTTCCAGAAATCTAAAGCTAACAAAATTATGTCTCCTGAAAAGTGATGCTAAGGAAAGCATAACTCCTGAATTCTAAAACCAACAAAGATAAGACTCCTGAAATATAGAGCTAATGAAAATAAGATCCCAGAAATGTAAAGCAAACAAAGATATGTTACCCGAAATGCAGAATCCTAGAAAATATGATTACTGAAATCTAATATTAAAAAATATGACGAATATTAATATCGAAACCGTTAAAGATAATCTTAGGGTTTTTGGTCTAAAAATAAAATTCTTCCAATAATTTTAGAGATTAGAGAAAACAATATTTATGCTGCTTTTACGTAAAACTATCGTTTCAGCATATCCATTTAAGGAGCTTCCTCGAGTATGAAATCTGTAAGGAAGGAGTTGAGACACTTTTTACAGAATAAAATGCTGAGAATAAAAAAATACAAAAAAAAAAAAACGGTGGTTAATATAGTGACCCGTAGATTCATTTCTTTTGAAGTCTGCTCTGTTCATTTCCGATTAAGGCCCGTCTGCTCGTTACCATACAAGCCGCTCTGCTTATTTACGAGCAAGTCCATCTGTCCGTTTCCAAAAACGTTCATCTATTCTTTTCCGAACAAGTTCATCTGTTCTTACTGAACAAGCTCATCTGTTCGCTTCCAGACAACACCGTCTGTTCGTTACCGAGCAAACACGTCTGCTCATTTCCAAATAAATCTGTCAGTTCATTTCCGAGCAAGCCCTTATTTTCCTTTCCGAGCAGGCACCTCTGCTCATTTTCAAGTAAACCTATCTGTTCATTTCCGAGCAAGCTCTTCTGCTCGTTTCCAAGCAAGCCCGTCTGCTCTATTTTAAGCAAAACCAGTCTGCACTTTTCCGAGCAAGCCCGTCTGTTCCTTTCCGAGCAAGCCCGCCAGTTCCTTTCCGAGCAAGCCGGTCTGTTCCTTTCCGAGCAAGCCGGTCTGTTCCTTTCCGAGCAAGCCCGCCTGTTCCTTTCCGAGCAAGCCCGCCTGTTCCTTTCCGAGCAAGCCCGCCTGTTCCTTTCCGAGCAAGCCCGCCTGTTCCTTTCCGAGCAAGCCCGTCTGTTCCTTTACGAGCAAGCCCGCCTGTTCCTTTCCGAGCAAGCCCGCCTGTTCCTTTCCGAGCAAGCCCGCCAGTTCTTTTCCAAACAAGCTCGTCTGCTCGTTTTCGAGCAAGCCCTTCTGCTCGCTTCCAAGCAAGACCGTCTGCTCGATTCTCTTTCAGAGTAAGTCTGTCTGCTCTTTTCCAAGCATATCTGTCGGTTCATTTCCGAGCAAGACCCTCAATTCGTTTCGGAAGGAGCCCGTCTGCTCTTTTCTGAGCAAAACCCTCTGCTCGTTTCCAAGTAATTCCGCCTGCTTAGAGCCTAATGTGTCTTTTTCAGAGAGCCCGCCTGTGGTTTATACAGCAACTATACAGAACGGATCTTAGTTACAATTAAAGTAAAATATGTACCCTGCCAGAGTCACATGCGTTTTTGAATTCATTTGTCATACTTGTTACTAACAGCGGTTACAGAGTCCCGTCTCACCTGCTAATTAACGCGTAACTGAAGCTGGAGGAGAGGATTGTTTAAAAAGAAATGGATTCATCTCTTTTCTCTCGAGTATTTGTGCGAATGTAAGTAATGCTCGGCTTGCCGCTTTCCCGATGAAAACTTCTAACAGTTGCAGCACCCATGTAAGTGGACAGAACGCGAATTTAAATGAAAAAAAAAGACTAATGCTGAAAGATTTACGACAGTGAATTCGTGAGAGAAATGCTGTATAAATGTCAAGTTGGGTTGGGTGATGGTGGTTTTGACGCATAGTGTAAAACAAAAGAGAAAACAACAAGATCTTCGGTTTAAAAAAAATATTTATGGAAGATTAGAAAGTAAAAAAAAAACGCTTAATTAGAAGAAAATAACAAAGAACATGTTTGAAAAAAAAAAAACAAAACTGGTAACACTCAGTCGGATTTACATTAAGTAATGTAATAAGAGTATAACAATAAAAAAGAGAGCAAATAATATATGCTCGATCATGACTGGTGTTCTTTATCCACAGTGAAGCTGAATCCTGTGATTATGAATAAGAAGCTAGTTGTTAGATTAAAGATGTTGAAAATGTCGTTAATCACAGGGGTTAACGGATCTCAAAAATGAAGAAATGAAAAGCCTTATCAAATAGCTGGAGAGGAAAAGAAAGAAGTTGAGTATAATATATATTACAAGAGAGACAGATGGAATGAAATGATAGATAATAGAGGTCAAATGTCAAATGGCACAGCAGAGAAACTAAAAGAGAAAAAAATTTAAAAAAAATCTGGAAAAAATAAATGCATCAGAAGAAAAAATAAAAGCGTAGAAAAATAAAAATAAAAAAAAAAAAAAAAGGACTCGCATGAACCGTGAATATTTTACAGGTTTTCTCTTATCATTTATCTGTAATTTCACAGTGGTACACTCCTACCTTCCAATTTCCGTTGGCTGTTGAAGCTTTTTATTGAACTGTTTGATATATATGATAACTTTCACGTGCTAAAAATCTTTTTTTTTTTAAATGGATTAAGGAATAAATAAATATTTGCTGCTTCAAATTTTCTTTTTCTTTCGTTCTATCCTAGCACAAAAATGTTAATGCATCGCAGTTTACGATTTTCGATCCTAAACTGCGTTGCACACTTTCATTCATTCCCTTAATATACAAATAGCAAGAACTTCATCCCAGGTTTACCCTGATTCCCTGTTGTAGCACGTGTTAGGTTCTTAGCTATGGGCGAACCCCAAACAAAAACATTATGAAAGTGTAATTTTTTTCTACTCACGTTCACCCAGTATAAGGCCCAAAAGTCACACAATGTAGAGGGTTAATGAATAAGATTGCTGTTAAGGGCGTAAAGGTACAAAGGTGAAGAAATGACTTTTATATGAGGCTTTTTGATCATTTTTTACTATTTTTCACTCAATACATGGCCAAGAGCCACTCAAGGCAGGCGGTTACTGTGAGGACTTATATTAGGATAGAACAAGCTTTAGGAGCTTTCTTTTCAGAGCTGAATCAAAACTTAAAAGGAACCGGAAACCCAATCCTAAACAAGAGATAAACCTCTCTTCCTGGTTCAAAAGACCGGGTAGGAGTGTGAACGGAACGATAGGCGAAAGTATCTACTCCTATTAAATACGTTTTTATAGTAATATTTCCAACAATATATTTTTATATAAAAAATTACCAACAATATCTATTTATAGTAAAATGAGCAGGTATACCAATTTAAAATAAAATTACTAACAATACAAATTTAAAGCAAAATGAATAGTAATACAATTTTATAATACGAAAAGAACATTTTATAGCAAAATGACCAACAATAGTTGAAGGCATACAATGACGTTCTAAATATATTTA